CTGTAACGGAATACAGTTACTCATATTTTGTATTTTAAATACGTAACGGCGGTACATGTATTCCGTTACTCCCCAACACTGCATGTGCTTGCATTTGGTTCAAAAAATACATTCACTTTGTAAGTAATTATCAAAGCACATGCCAGCAAGCCATACGTGAACTCATTAGGACCTTTGCTTTCACAGATCTCAGTTACACAGATGATTAGTGGATGATTGTGAATGTTATGGATTCGGGTTTAGTTTACTTGGCAAAATTTTACATGGAGACATGTTTAAAAAATTGCGTTTGTTAAACTTGGGAAATTGTTTGAGTATAAATGTTAACTTTATTAATTCACAGCTATCTTGCTGCTGCATTAGTCAAGCTACTGGACAAATATTCCTCTGGAAATGATTCCAGATATAATTTGGTTGCTTGTATGTGTCATATTGTTTTTTTCTTTATTTTTTTCCTGCTTTTTTGCATTCAGTCAGTATAGTTGGGGATACTGAGGGCTCATTTTTATCCTCCTATGTGAAATTCGCTTCACAGGCAATGATCAGTCACAACAAACTTAAATCATTAAGTTTTCCAGCGATACATAAATACAGTGTTTGCATACTGTCAGTCAACTGACGCTCATTACCTCCCCCAGTAATAAAATCCTTCGACACACGAGAGTTGATTGGCACATCCTTTTTTTTAAACTTTGAAGTTTGAAGATAAAGAGGTCTTATTATATATCGTGTTAATTGAAAACTCGTTTCTAGCACGGACACATCATGCAGACGGTGGTTTGAGCTTTAGAAACCCTATACTGGCTGTTCACTAATTGTGGGTTGACATAACATTGTATTGATTAACAGTCATTATCTTTCTCCTCCAGGGAGTTGCACTTGCCTCTCTCTTCTTCATCCTGGTGTCGATCACCACATTCTGCCTGGAGACCCACGATGCCTTCTATGAAGTGAAAAACTGGACGGAGCACGTTGTACAGGACAACATGACAAAGAACATCACAAGGAACGAAATAGTGACCAACCCAATCCTCTTCACCGTGGAGGGCATCTGTGTAGTCTGGTTCTCGTTTGAATTTCTGGTGCGCATAATATCCTGCCCAGACAAAGTAGTCTTCATCAGAAACATGCTCAACATCATTGACTTTGTGGCCATTCTACCATTCTACCTGGAGTTGGCTCTGAAAAGTCTGTCATCCAAAGCTGCCAATGATGTGCTAAACTTCCTCCGTGTGGTCCGGTTTGTTCGAATCCTCCGGATTTTCAAGCTGACGCGCCACTTTGTAGGCCTGCGTGTCCTGGGTCACACGTTGAGGGCTAGCGTCAATGAATTCCTCTTGCTTATTATCTTCTTGGCGCTAGGTGTGCTAATCTTTGCCACCATGATTTACTATGCTGAGCGTATTGGAATCCAGCCTAATGACCCCACAGGCTGCAATCACACACACTTCAAGAATATCCCCATCAGCTTTTGGTGGGCGGTGGTCACTATGACCACACTGGGCTATGGAGACATGTATCCACAGACGTGGCTCGGCATGATGGTAGGGGCGCTTTGTGCACTGGCTGGGGTGCTGACCATTGCTATGCCGGTTCCCGTCATCGTCAATAACTTTGGGATGTACTACTCGCTGGCTATGGCAAAACAGAAGCTGCCAAAAAAGAAGAAGAAGCACAACCCAAACCCTGACGCTCCAACTGACTCAGCCTCGTTTGGGAAGTCAGAAACAAACTCGCACAGAGACAGTACTCAGAGTGACACGTGTCCACTGGCTCCTGAGGAGAACATCAGTAGGAACCGCTCAGGTGAGGCTACAGTACAATTTTTAAACTCTCTAAAATGTCAGAGGCATGTTTTCTCACTAACCATTTCTTGTGGCTACCATGCAGGTGACGGTGTTTCACGTGCTCAGGTTTTCTGGGGCAGTTTTGTTTTTGAAGCACACACTATTTAACCTTAAGCAGTAACATGGTTTTACTGGAGATACTTCCTGACAAATGTTCTCTTTGTGCCCTCACTAAGAGTAGTAGTAGTTTTTCAGTCTAGAGAGATTATTTTATTACTTGAAATTGTTCTTGGCAGCACCAAAACCCATCCATTCACTTGCAGTAGGTTGGAGGACAAACTTGTGCATCATGTGTGAACCATGAAAACTGACCTTTTAATCTTAAGTTGCACTGTATCAACGTTGCACTGTAGTAGTAGTACAAAGAGCTATCGTGTTTCAAGTCTTGTACTTTGTAGGTTTTGTAGAGTTTGCTTGACAGATGAACTGCACTTAGTCACAATGACAGCAACGTACTGGGATTAAATTACCTCTGCTAGCATCTGAGTCAAATTGGATTTCATCACAGAAAAATACCAGCTTTGTGCAATATTTCTCTGTCTGCCTTTGTGTGGACCCTCGGGTCTGTATCAACTTTGCCATTTATGTTGGCATGTATTTGTGTCTTCCTGTCCAGACTCCAAACAGAACGGGGATGCAAATGTGGCCCTTTCAGATGAGGAAGGCTGTAGTTTGACCCAGCCGCTGTCCCCCAGCGAAAAGTGGACATTGCGGTGTTCCCGAGGCCGAGACAAGAATAAGAAAGAGGGCACCTGCTTCCTCCTAACCTCAGAGAACCCCAGCGTTCAAACTGGTGAGTACATGCTGCATTTGAGCCAGATATGAAGCTCCAAGTTTAGCATTTTGGCTGTCACTACCTTGTTGATTTGAAAAAATAAGTGCGGGTTGGATATGACTGACAAGCTGAGGGATACTGCATACTCACACAGAAATAACTTCTATCTGTCAGTATCTGTTTTACTCTAAATTGGACCACTGTTGCCATATTCAAGATATGTTAAAGCATCAACTGACAAAGTAAAGTTGTTGGAA